GATGGATGGATGGATGGATGGATGGGTGGATAGATGGGCGATTGATGAATAGATGAATGATGGATGGAAGAATAGATTGATGGATGGATGGATGGATGGATGGATGGATGGATGGATGGATGGATGGATGGAATTTTTGACTTTTGGAAGCTATGATGTTTGAAATTTGGGAAGTTTGGAAGGAAGGTCAGAGTTTCCAAATTATTGAATTTGGAATTTCTGAAGTTCGGAACTTTGGAATTTTGGAATTTTGGAACTTCGGGAGTTTGGACTTTGGATTTCAGAATATTGGAATTTGGGAATTTTTTTTAAATTCGAAAGTTCAAAACTTTGGAATTTCAGAATTTTTGAATTTCAGAATATAGGAGTTTTGGAATTTATGAAGTTTGTCATTTTGGAAGTCCAGATTTTGAAATATCGGAATTTAAGAATTTCTTATGTTTGGACATTCAGAACTTTGGAATTTTGGAAGCTAAGACATTTGGAATTTGGAAGTTCGGAAATTTGGAAGTTTGGAAGGAAGTTCAAAGTTTCCAAATTTTTGAATTTCGGAATACAATAAGTTTGGAAAACTATTCAATTTTAGCAAATCATTTAAGGAAATGAGGTCAATTTGTCCTCCAGTAGTCTAATCCTATAGCAGCATAACAAGCCAACCCTAACTATATGATTTACCAAAAAGGAAAGTCTTGATCCCAGTCTTAAAACTGGACAATGTGTCAGCCTCATGGACAGAAACTGGAAGTTGGTTCCATAAGAGAGGAGCCTGATAACTGAAAGATCTTCCGCCCATTCTGCTTTTGGAAACTCTACAAAAATACATATGAAATAATCAAAAAGAAGCAGAATACTCAAATTTGGGCAAGACAAATATGCATATGATGTGTTTTCATGTGTTCGATGGTCAATTTAATCTTGCTGAAAGTTCTAACGTACTTCATTAGCATATGTAACAATACAACAAACAATGAAATGAAGGCATAATTGTTTTGGTGAAAGCTTGAATATAAAATTATTTTCAATCTCATACAGTTTTGTAAGGTATCTTGCTGTTGTGGCTGACTCTCAGCTACCACCACATCAAATTTTAAAGTTTTATCCATGCTTCTTCTTCTTTCGGCTTTTCCCTCTTCAGGGGTCTACACAGAGAGTCATCCTCCTCCACCTCACTCTGTCCTCTGCATCCTCTGTCCTCACTCCAACTACTTCCATGTCCTCTCTAACTGCATCCATGTATCTCCTCTTTGTATTTTTCCTGGCAGCTGCATTTCTAACATCCTTCTACCAGTATACCCACTGTCCCTCCTCTGGACATGTCCAAACCATCTCAGTCTGGCCTCTCTAACTTTATCTCCCAGTTATATGTTTGTGTTTGTTAATGTTGATTAACTGTGATTAACCTGAAAGGTTATACAGTTTATGTCAATCTAATAGCTTTACGACAAGTGTACTTTATTTCAAATCTTCAAAGCTTATTTAATATTGTTAAACCTGGAAGCTGCAAATGTTGCCACTGATGTTTGCTACAAACCTGTGACAGATATAGTAATTGAGTTGCGTCGTTGCACAGTAACCTCTGTCTGGACTCCTCTGAACAGGTGCAAAAGAAGATTTTACAAATAAAAATAGATTTGTGAATATTTCTTGCTTCCTCTCTGATTCTCTGCTGCTTCACCACACTGCTCTCTGTTCATCTATTGACAAGCTCCTTTCTCCCCTGCAGTGTGTATCAGTTATGAATTGCTCTTTTACTGCTTGATAAAATGAAAAGTGTCAACTGTGTCACACTTGATACATGTCAGACTCAGCTCTTCCTCATGCTTACATGTCAGTGCTTCTTTCTGCCCAGAAGTGCAGTGAAATTGACCCCTTTCCCTCTCTGGACCATACAAGTGAGCGCTACAGCAACTGTGCAGAACAGGCAGTGTGAGAAAGGTTGGACCTGCAGCGATAATAGGCTCTGAGGGGGGAAAAGCTGCTTTAAAATAATTTACAAGTGCAAAAAGCCAAAAGGAAGAAATTTGTAGCTGTATTTCTTTACCTGTGCAGCTCAAGTCCATTTCAGTGCTGTTTCGCTCTTCCTGGCCGCTGCATAACCAGTTATGTGTGTGGATTCAGATCGGCACAGAGTTTCTGCGCGGTGTGTCAGGAGGAGAGAGAAAAAGGTGCAGCATCGGGATGGAGCTCATCACGTCTCCTTCATTGTTGTTTCTGGATGAGCCAACCACAGGCCTGGACTCCAACACGGCCAACTGCATCGTCGGTCTACTGCACAGGTACGGCTCAGTTTTTGATGGTTTGCCCAACAACACATAAAATACAAAATGAGAACTTGGAGCTCATCACACAGCCAATGCAGCTGAAGCTTCTGGGTAAAAAGCGAGCTGTGCATTGTGTGAATGTTTGTGAAACATTCACATTATTGTGATCCATTTTTCTTCTGTACATTTTTCAGCATCTTTCTCGTTCCACAGTTTTTGTGCTATTTCAACAAATTATAAATCAAAACGTTCAGGAGAAGGGTGCTATGACTTTTGGTATTGGTGCAACTTTGGCTTTTTGAAATATTTAGCCTTTTCTGTCATTTTTTTCCTCATAAGAAATGAATTGAGCTTATTTTACATTCTTTGACTCTTTACCTTTTACTGCTCATTCAGCTTCAAACATTCAGCTTCTTTCAGCTTCCTTGTGCAAATTAAATAAAAATGCAGCTACTTTCAGCTAATTTCAGCTGGGGTTTTTTAGCTGTTTTGTGCTCCTTTCAGATTCTTTCTTCTAACTACAACATTTTTGTGCTTCTTCTGACTTCTTTCTGCTCCTTTCAGCTAATTTCTGCACGTTTCAGCTTTTTCTACTATTTTAGCTACTATTTAGCTGTTTTATGCTAATTTTAGCCTTTTCAGCTAATTCCACGTTTTGCAGTCATTTCAACATTTTCAGCCTAATTTAGCAAAATTGTGCTCTCTCCTCTTCATTCTGTTAATTTAAGCTTCATTCTTTTTTTGAGCTACTTTTCATCTGTTTTCGTTTAGCTAATTTCAGCTTTTTCTAAGTAAATTCCACTTTTTTCTTCTCGTTTCTGCTTCTGTCAGCCAAATTGTGCAAACGTTCTGCTAATTTAAGCTTGTTCTATCTTTTCAGCTAGCTTTTTAGCATTTTTTTAGTTAATTTGAGCTGTTTTTAGATTAATTCACATTTTTCTGGTAATCTCTGCTACTTTCAGCCTAATTAACTTATTTATAATTTAAGCTTCTTATACTCCTTTAAGCTTTTTTCTGCTAGTTTCAGCTTTTTGCTATTTCAGGTAGTATTTAACTGGTTTTATGTTAATTTTAACTTTTTCAGCTAATTCCACATGTTTTCAGCTCATTTCAGCTCTTTTTACTTCTTTCTGGTAATTTAACCTTCTTCCTGCCTTTTCAGCTACTTTTCAGCTATTTTCTGCCAATTGCAGCTTTTTACAGCTAATTTATATCCTAATTATCATAATTTATATGCTCATTTCTGCTTATTTAAAGCTAATTCAGCAAACATGTTTTTTCTGCTTTCTTCTGCTCATGGTTTTGTTCTTACATTTCAGCCACATTTCAGCATGTTTTAGCTGTTTTTCCAGCAAGTTCTTCTGTAATAAGCATTCACACTGCATTTTCACAGGAAATGCAATTACTCTATAGTTATTGTTAGCTTTGAGCAAATTTTTTCACTGCTGTCAAGCAAATAATCTCATGACCGTCTCTTGCTTTAAAATATATAACTTAATGTAAATATTCAAATATGTGCTCAGGCTCTCCAGAAAAGGAAAGACGGTGATCTTCTCCATTCACCAGCCACGATACTCTATCTTCAAGCAGTTTGACCACCTGACCCTGATGCACAAAGGAGAGATAGTGTACGCAGGAGCAGCAGAGCGTGCTCTGGACTACTTTACAGGCCTCGGTATGAACTTTGTGTCCATGCCATGAAAGTCAGATTTAAAGAAAAATGAAATGTGGTGCTTAAAAATCACAAGTCACACTTTTTTCATTCTAATACTTACGCGTATCATCCCAGTATAAAAGGAGATCTTTATAACCTGGAGGGTGGCTTTTATTTTTCATCAATTCTCATGCTATATCTCATTTAAACATGTCTTTATGTAGACTGTTTTTTCCTATACATAGAGCACTCATTAGAAAGTTGCATGAGGATGTGCTGAATCTGTGTGTCCATGTTTGGACAGGATATCAGATCGAAGCTTTCAACAACCCTGCTGACTTCTTCATGGATATCACAAACGGAGAAGCAACGTCAACAGTAGAAGCGCTAACTACAGGTAATTTATACAAAACGAAAAGGGGTTCACAAAAACACTCATGCCTAATAGTTACATGTTTTAACACTTGAGAGTAGAAAACGTCTAGACTATATGTGTCAAACTCAAGGCCCGGGGGCCAAATGTGGCCCTTGCTGACATCTTATCTGGCCCTCAAGATGATAAGTGAAATGTAAAATACTTCTGTCTTTTAAATTTTTTCAGTAATCTTTGATTATGATGTCAAAAGCACAACAGAGAACATCAAATGAGACCAATCAAACTCTTGTTGAAGAACCTGTGACCAAGAAAAGATGTCGGGTATCTGATTTGATTTAATGTAGATTCTGAAATTGGCATTTAGTTTGAAAAAGGTTTTAATTTTGGCCCCCTTTTGTCAGTGAGTTTGACTCCCCTGGTCTAGACACTTGAGTCAGACTGAGTTCAAATGAAAGAAACGTTCCTGCGTGTCAAAGTTTTAAACAAAGTTCTTGCATGGGTCTGGAGGTCCTCCCCCAGAAAAGTTTGAATAAAGTGAATGTGATTTCCTGCATTTTAATGTATTTTAATGGGTCAATAAACATCTACGTGCTTGTAAAAAAATACAATAATAAATTATATATATATATATATACTTTATATTTGTCTCTGGTATAGACAACTTATGAACTCTGCTTTGAACGACTCATTGAGTTGGCAGAACACAGTCTTCCAAAGAATAAACATTTTACATCACTTTTGTTTTGATCTTTAACAAACTGAAGCCTGGTTTTAGACGTCATGTGCAGAGAACAGTTCCCTCGTCGCTCTTCATAAAGTATTTAACGTTGAATCCATCCCTTATCTGTGGCTCTGTCGTGTGTGGTGTTTTACTCCTAGTGGACGACGATAAAAACTCGTTGGCAGCACATTACCGCCAGTCCCAGCTGCATCAGAACGTGATGGAGGAGCTGGAGGACGTGACCCAGAGCATCGCTGGGGTGGCCCCCAGTGAAGAACGAGCACCAGCTTATGTCACCTCCTTCCTCTATCAGGTCAACAAGCCTATATTTGAACATTTCGTGGACAGACGTGTACATTTCTTTTGTTTACAGCAGTGAAGGAAATCAGAATCTCAGCTGAGATAATGATTAACAGAAACAGATGAGTTTATGAGAACCGTTCACCTGTTATATCACTGAACTTGGCTGACCGCAGGTTGAACTCGTGCACAGTGCTTAAAACACACAGATTGTTATTTAATGTGTGTGAAACAGATGCGGGTGGTGTGTGGCCGGACGGTGCTGAACATTTTGAGGAACCCTCAGACCTCTTACGCCCAGCTGGCTCTCAACATCTTTTTTGGGATTCTGGTAGGACTCATTTACTACCAGATGCCCCTGACTCTGCCCGAGGCTTTACAGAACAGGTAGCAACACTACCTGCAGCTCCAAGTATGAATGCTCCATTTTAACCCAAATTACATCGCTTAGAAATACTGACATGAAATGGAAATGCTATAAACTATCAATATCTAACTTGTTGTAGATAACTTCTTGAACAGCCTCAGTTTGGAGAAAACCTGTTTGGCTCTGACCAGACTGACAAGCTAACAACAGATTCAAGTGGGGCTAAGATTAAAGTGGATTACTTCAATCTAGAAAATAATTCATACCGGTTCATGTGAACACTCATACATACAATGCACAACTATTCCAGCCGAAATATCATGATATTCCCATTGGAAGTGCCCCAGACTGCACTGGAAAAGCTACAGCTAGCTGCTGCTGTTAGTTGTGCTTGCAAAATATATTTTTTTTAAATGTCAATGAGCATATGATGAGAAAACAACAAAAATGTAAAGATTCACCACATTCATGATTTTTAGCATTTACACAAAAAGCTGTGAAGAAGATTTGTGTGGAAAAGTTGTAAGAATTGTTCTTTTACTCACATCTGAGGTAATTCAAAAGCTATCTACAACAGGTAAGATATTTATTGTTCATTTTTCCAAAGAATCTCACTTTAAAGGAATTGAAATATACTCAATGAAATGGAAATTGCAATTAGCAATTATAGTTTTTTTTCTCAGCTTTATTTTAATTTCATATGTAAGCAAGGTGGTGACCGAACATAAATGAGTAAAGAAAATCCAAATCAATAAAAGAATAAAGGCAGAATCACAAAAATATAATAAATAAAAGTCAAGTGCTGGTACATATGGTAATAATACTTTAATATCAGCTTCAAATAAGTCAAAAATGAGAAGATGTTTCACGACGACAGAATAATTTTTATCTTGTTTAATTGTTCGTACGTTTTTGGAAGTAAAATTCAGTCCGATATGATGAAGTGATGGCCCAACCTTCATCTTCCTCCATCTGTGGCAGGAGTGGAGCGTTCTTCTTCCTTATTATCAACATGGTGTTTGGGAATCTTTCCGCTGTTGAACTCTTTATCAACGAAAGAGTGATCTTCATGTAAGTGACACTTTAAACTTATAAGTGCATTCATATCATTATATAATATTCTTGTTGCTTTCCTCATGTCAAAAATATCAACAAAATCTTTCAGTTTTCGTTTTGTATTTAAAAAATAAAAACCTCTCTGGCTTCCAGTTTAATACAGCACTCAGCCTTAAACCAATTTGTTCATATTATGGTTTAAAAACTTTTTTCCCCCTTTGGATTTCATAATAATTTCCTAAAACGATGATTGGAAAACTTGAAGAAATAGAAGTTTGGTTTTCTATGTACTGATACTATTGTTTGGTTTCTCTGTGATGAAGAAAAGTACTGTCAATTTTCTAGCAAAATTATACTTTTGATAAAATTCACGAGGCTAAAGTTGCACAGTTTGAACTTGTAGAAATAAACTGAGGGGTGTTGCTTTTTGTTTTGTTGTCTTTTAATATATCCCCAAATGACACAAGTAAATTCATTAGATTATTCAAAGTGTCATACACAGCAGACATCACTCTTAAACTACACACACTGATACACTCATACAGCAGCAATAGACGCATTGATAATGTTGTTGTTTGTATATTTATGTAATTTGTGCGCGTTGTTGTTTATTGTTATTGCAGTCACGAGAACTCCAGCGGTTATTACCGTACATCTGTTTACTTCCTGTCAAAGATCTTTGCTGATCTCATCCCGAACCGCATGATCCCGATATTTGTGTTTTCAGCCATCGCCTACTATATGATGGGTAACATCATCTGAGCACACACAGAAAAAAATCCACATGATGTGTCTGAAAATTACAAAATAACTGGAAACAGAAGCAGCTTTTGACTATTTTTGTGTTGTTTGCGTGTTTGTTTTTACATTTTTGAATGGTTATTACTTAATGCAGAAATACCAACAGCTAGAATGTGCTTTTGTACGTTTTTCAGCTGGTTTAGGAAACTGTTCATGCTGTTTTATCTCAAAAGTCTTTCTGTTTAGAGATTTTTTCATTCAAGCTTTATACAGGTTAGACTCATTGAAACTCAAAGACTCATTTACAAGAGAGACCTGTCTTAAACAAAGAACGCAGATGAGGTACAGACAACAATAGACAATCCTGTAAAATGCATATAAAGTGAAAAAGAAAATGGGAGAAATTACATTAAAAAAAAACCAGCTACATTATAAAGTGATGTAAAATATTAAAAACAAGAACATGTCATTGGTTTTTGTCATGAACAGTTGTTTAAAATCTCTTAGAGAGGTCATGGTCAAGAATAGCTTCAGATATTTTTGTAGGATGCTCAGGAAACAGGAGCGGAGTAGGAGAAGACCCTTTTGCCTAGTTCGGTCCTCACTGAGGGGACACTGCAGGTAATAATGTCCTGAGAGCGCACGCTGTAGCTACACACAAGAAGTTACATGTAGGAGGAGATGTATGAAGGTAACAAACCAAGAAGTGATTTAAAGATGAAAATGTACCAGTGTGGGATTCTGCATGAAGTTAATGATGTCCAGTTAACAAGTGAATACAGGGTGCAGTGGTGGGTACAATAGTTACAGCTAGTTGTGAATTTTAGCGCACCGTGATAGACAGTGTCCAGCATCAGGGTGCTTGTGGGGCACTCATGTGAATAATGTCACTGTAGTCAATGGAGGGAAGGAAAGTAACAGTTACAAGGTGTTAGATAGGATCTGTTTCTAAAAAGAAACCCAGTTTCACTTTCAGTTTCTTTACCAAGTTTTCGACGTGAGGCTTAAAAGAGATGTGAATCGACCAAATTACCCAAGTATTTGTAAGAATCGAAAAACTCAAATGGGACATCATTCATAGATAAAATAGAAGGAAGGACTGCTGGAACCAACTTCCTATTTGAAAACATCCTTTGGTTTTATCAGCATTTCACACAAGTTTGAGACAGAACAAATCTGATGATATCAAATGCAGACTGTAAACGCTGGAAAACCTTAGCAACTGTTCTAGCTCGACAATAAACAAATGTGTCGTCCGCATAGCAATGAAAGGATGCATCAGGAATGATCTGAACTACGTTGGGGCGGCTGTGGCTGAGTGGTTAGAGCAGTCGTCCTCCTATGCGAGAGTTGGGGGTTTGAGTCTACCAGCAGTCACATGTCGAAGTGTCCCTGGGCAAGACACTGAACCCCTCATAGCCTTTGATGTGTGTCCCATCAGTGTACGAATGTGATAAAGCACTGTTTAGTCTCATTAGAATGATTTGTTCGATTAGCTTTGTAGAGATGTAGAGTGCTGTATGAATGGGTAAATGAGGGCACAGATTGTAGTGTAAAGTGCTTTGAGTATCTTGAAATAAGATGGAAAGGTGCTATGTAAGTACAGTTCATTTACCATTTACCATATACTTATGCAGATTGTAAAGAGGGTGGGTCCTAAGATGGAACCTTGTGGTACACCATTGTTAACAGTTAAGCCCCTTATCCACGGGTCTTTTTGGTACTCCTATGTAACTAGTTGTGGCCGATTGCAGGATTTATCAACAATGCCTTTAACGGTGGAACCCACCCCATTTTTGGGACCTAAATCACTGAGGTCCCAGGTCTGGTTCTTTTAGGGTCTAGTTGTGACATCAGCGCACTGTAGGTCACTGATTGGTCAGGGGGCGTATTCATTGGTGGAGGGCGGAGATTCAGTCTTCCACCGGAAATCACAATCCACCATTTTCTTTTTCACCCGCATAACAGACAACAAGAAATCGGAGGAGCTTATTTTGGAATATTTTATAAGGTAAAACAAATAATCATGGCACAACCGTGGTCGAATGCTGAAGTTCAGGCATTTCTCTGTTTGCTGGCCGATGAACAAGTGCAGCGCGAGCTAGATGGAACGAAACGAAATAAAAAGATTTTTCAAGAGATGTCTGCGCAGATGGCGGTGCAGGGCTTCCATCGCACACCAAAGCAAAGAGGAAAGCTTAAAAAACTAATAGTTGATGGTGAGTGTATTTTATTTACTTTAAGCATATTTCCTTTTCCTCATGCAACCGTTTCTTTGCGTTTTCTGAAAGTACTCTGAACAAACGAGGCAGACGCGGTTACGTCGTCATTAGTTAGCATCATTGCTAACTGTACTCTGTTGCTGTTTTTCCACTCTTATTTTGATGCAGAAAGTCCCACTGAACATGAAGGTTCGCCAGATTCTGCTTTTGACTGTCCAATCCTCCCCGCTTCTGACCCTTCCCGACCACACCAGCTCCAAGTACATCTACACCACCAAGTACATCTACACCACAGAGTACATCTATGCCACCAGGCACATCCACGCCACCGGGCACAGCCACACCATCGGGCAACACGCAGCAGAGCGGCACCGAACAGCACCCGTTACTAGGTAAGAAGCAACAATCGTGTTTAACATCACATTGATCGTGTCGATATGAATGTTGTTTTGTTTTTGTTGTAAAACACCTTGCATGTATTCAAACTACTTGTTTATTCAGTTGTAATGGATAAATGCTAAATTTAGTTATTCATTTATTACTTAAACTTTCATTTATGAAGTTTATTATTGAAATTATACAGGGTGTAGTGATTTTTGTTCAGATTAACGATGCTCTGTTCTTTTTCTAAATTAGCACAAACCGTTGTAAATGACTACATGTAGTTTATTTATGCCCACCTGCTTACTATCATTAAAGTACTAGACTGCTTTATGAACAGAATCATTTCTGATCTTGTGAACAAACACCTTTTGAAATTAGCAGGAACTTTAATGTAAATAATTTATTCAAAAACTCTACCTGTACTTCATCATCTAACAGCCATTTTCTTGTGTGTTATTCCTAGGCAATAGGAAGCGCAGATCAACAAGTGCAGCAGAGAGCTTTGTTTCTGCGCACACAGAACAAGAGGAGATGAACCAGAAGCAGAGAGAGAAACACTTCCATTTTATTTGTGAGGATGCCAAAAAAGCAAGGCAAGAAGAAGCTGCAGCAGCGAGGAAGCAGGAGAAGGCAATTAGGAGGGAGGAGATGGCCTTGAGGAGAGAGGAAGCAGATGTTCGCAGAGAGGAAGCAGCACAGCGAAGGCAGGAGGCTGAACAGAGTGCTGCTTTCAGTCAGGCACTCCTTGGGGTGCTGGAATCCATTGCCCGTTCCATGGCAAACAGACATGTTTAAAAATATTTAGAGTAGATCATAGTTGATCTATAGAAATGTAGATCCTGCAAGGTAAGCCCACAAATAGCCAAACGTAGCTTGTTAAGTTTGCATATATAATTAGTGTATAATTGGTTTTTTTTGTACAGGTCTTTATTTCTAATAAAAGAAACATTTTCAAGTCTTGAGCTTCCATCTGATCATCAAAAGTGAAGTGCTTACAGTGTTTTTTTACGTCAATAGTGTAGGATAAGTGAAGTAATTGTTTTTTACCTGTAACAATGCTGGTGAAGATTCTCAGTTATCCTTGACACGGCAAATCCCCCCCCCAAAACAGATAAAAACAAAACCACAGGACTTTTTTTAAAACTGAAGACGTTTCGCTAATCATCCGAGGAGCACACACAATTCAATGAAAAAAGGAATCTGGGATTAAAGTTATAAA